AGCAAACACCCATAGAATCTTTATTGGCTCCATAAATATTTGTGCTCCACCTCGGCGGGCCTTTGGTTAGCTAGCCCGGAATTTTCACTCCTTTAAAGAGGCGGCGCAATGGGGTTACTTATGCAAAGCCAGGGATTCGCTCGCTGGCATTTGTCCTTGGCAGCGGACGTCTTAAGCGGCTTTAAAACTTTGCCCCGAAGAGGGGCAATCTGATGGATGCGGCAGGCGACTCCTGACTTTGCGACTCTCTTCATGCGTAAGCCGAATTCAATCACAGGACTTCTTAATGGGCCAGCCAGAGTCAAAGGCAGGCAAGGCAGCAAGGCAGGCAAAGCAGGCTGGCTAGAAAGGGCTGGGGGTCCTTGGGGGCTGGCTGTCTTTTCGGGCGGTGGGGCTCCTTTAGCTCCTTTATGGTTTCCACTGAAATAGAAAATGAAATTAAGATGGCAGCTGTCGCCGGGGCGGGGAGGAGCTGACTGACTGACTGACTGGGGAATACTAGTCGTATGAAATATTACGCATACGCAGTGGTGAAATACCGCGGAGGTCAGGAGCTCTGTCCGCAGCTTGATTGATTCGACTGTCCGGCCCGAAATAAATCCCCCCAGAGGCCAAGAGTCCCACATACGGATGCCGGATAATTGGGAGACAGCCTGGGACCTGAAAGCCCGAAAGGCGCCTCGAAAACAGGCGCGCAGATAACAAACTCATAACATTTAATTACGTACAATTTACTCACATGTTTACACCGCCCGAAAAAAAGATAAGCGCTCCGAAAAGCTGATCTCGCAGTTGTAGCTGCTTCGTTAGCGATTGCTCACCTCAGGACAAAAGGTTTCGGGTGCCTCTGGATTTCAGGCTTCCGGGAGGAGGGATACGGAATCCGGGTTCCGGGATCCGGGGGAGGTGTCGCTATCACTATCGCCATTACTGTCACTGTGACTGTCATTATGATTGCGATTGTCACTGGGCAATGCGGTAGCCGCCGGACTTTACTCGTGTGTCCCTGCCATATAACTATATAGCTCTTAGGCCGATTGCCGATTGGCGATTGTCAACTGCTGAATCGCGAATTGGGAGGTGAGCTGCCCACCTTTTCCCCATTCCCCGCACAGTGGGATGAGCTATCCATGTTTGATGGCAAAACACGAGCGAGTTATGGAAACACAAAAAAAGTTTAGGTGCTGTATATTAAGGAGAATTCCCTTCCTTATCATGAAAAGTATATTTTCTGAGAATATTAATATACCGAATAGTCTTTAGAAATGTAACCCTTTAATGCTTTTCAAAACTATTTGGTTATGAAATAAAGGAATGCTGTTTCGAGCAGGTCCACTGTGACCCGCACTGACGGGTGATTATTCACCCTGGGACTTTTGCTGGCCCGGCGAATATTTATCTGCCAGACCAGACCCCTCGTACTATGTAGTTATCTATCAACATGCCAGCATTCTGACATGGGAAACTCGTCACTTGTTCCCCGGAGACAATGGCGGCATCTGCGGGGAAGGGTGGCTGTTATTTCGCAACTATTGGTTTCAAGTTAAAGTCCCACTGCGAAGATCCCTTTTTCCATTTCCCACTTGCCACTTGCCACTTCCGATGTCCAATGTTCGGTTGCAAATGGCGACTGCACGTGATGCCAACGTGCAACCACTTGAACAATGCAATCCAGACCGGAATCGAGCAATCGGGAAATCGGGCAATCGAGCTCCCAATCCGATATTGCCAATGATGACTGGCCGATAAGCCACCTGTGACGTGTGAAGATTTGAGCTATTTATGGTTCCGTTCCCAGCCACTGCAGATATCCAATATATATTTAGCACCACGCTTTCCCCCAGAACCGGTTCGATCCGGAATCCCTCATGCACTTCCAGTCGGTTGCCCCGAACCGACTATATCACTCCATTTAGAAGGATTCGCAATTACGGAGCAACTATGCAAGTGCAATCAGCTCGGCCGGCAGGAAGAACTTCTCGCCAATTAATTTGCCAGCTCCCCGAAGCAGAAAAAACTGCGTATCGTTCTGGGTGGCAATGGATATGGCTGGCTATGGGGTTTTCCAGCTGCAGCTCCTCGTTTTGCCGTAATTAAACGTGTGAAGCGACGCGGGATGACCACGCACAAAAAACGCAACGAAGACAAATGGCCCGGGGAAAATATAAAATAGGAAAAATAGGAAAAATGCTGAGAGCCAGCTTAAAGTTCAAGCAGCCGCAGGAAGATTGAGTTTCGCCTCGTTCGAGATACATTTGAATCCGAGCCAGCAGATGGAGAACGTGTTCGCTGCGAGTTCACAGCTATCGGCAACTCAACTTTGAGCGGGGGCAATGCATGAAGGGTCCTTCCGTGGTCCTTCTATCCTTATCACCACCGTCATTTTTCAGCACCCTTTCCCCGATAGCGTCTTGTAATAGAAACGCACTTTATCTGCTGGCAACCAGCTCGAATAGCAATCACACTGAGGGGAAAACATTGAAACGTAATGTTTAGGGGGAATATAAAATAAACATTACATCTTCAAAAAATGTTTATTCATTTAGAGCTAACTACTCCCGATGTTGGATGATTTGTGAGTGATTTTGATAACTCTTTATTTCTCTCAGTGCCTAAGAATGACAAAGGGAAATTCGCAAGTGCGCACTGCAGATGCAGCGAGCTGGAAGCACTTTTCTGGCTGTTATCCCGCCGACAAGGCCAAGAATGCGGCCAATTCGATGGCGACATGGTAATAAACTTAATGCCAACTGATTTTGACAGCCCTGCACTAACATTTGGGGTGGGGAAGCAGCAGGGATTAGGCAGAGCGAGGCCTTGGGAAAACCCTCCCAGTGGCCACCCCTTCGTGAGCCTGACAAATGCGCGGAAAGTTTGAACACTTGTTAGGGTGTCGTCGGTGGACCTCGGGGCGTATGAGTTATGCGATCCGCCAAGGAGCGGGACCGCCTTGAACTAGAGCACTGCTTCCTCTGGCCACTCAAATCCGCTACGTATTCCGACTCCCAGTCACGTACATCTGCCGATGAGGCGTTCCATAAACTTGTCCTAGAGACCGATTCAAATTATGAACGCGTTAGAGCTTCGCTAGCAGCTCGTGATTGAGTTGTGGCTTGTCATTCGCAGCGTGTCATAATGAATTCACATAAAAATTCAAACCCATCATATGTGCACTGAAAAATATGATTGGAAGTGAAGTGAGTGTATTCGATATCACCTGATTTTATATAACTTTCTTTCTGTAATTCAAGATGTTGTGATCTTTTTATTGTTTTTCAAATCCTCAGTATTCATAGTAAAAATATTTACAGACTCACTTCTAATTTTTCTCTGTGCACCGATTAAATTATTAGGTGTCAGGTGCACTGACCCAAAGCCCCTTCTTGAGGGCGACTCTTTGGCATTGTCCTCACGCAGTCCACGGCCACGATCGCTAATTGCGTTCGCCAAATTAATTAAATCGGCCAATCGTAGTGCCATTTGTTGATTGAGTTTTTAGCCGAAACGAGAGTGGAATGGGAATTGTGGAGGGGAAAGGGCTATGCAAATGCCGCTGCCTGTTGCTGCCCCTCGCGATTGAATTAATTAGGCAAAAGGCAATTAAGCGAATCGACCTGCTCCGAATGTCGACCGGCGACTCAGCACGCGAACAGGGTCCACCGGGAGTACCCTTTTCCTTTCCCTTTCCCTTTACCCAACCCTGACCTCTGACCCCTGCTCTCGGGCGGAGTGGAAGCATAAATTCCTCAGCCAATAAGTTGGGCAATAAGTGGGTGTCTCCCATAAGGGCTGGCTAAACACCTGCGTTAATTCGAGAAGCCCTTCCCCGGGCTTTAGTGCCTCGCTCTAAGTGCTCTCCGTTGATGAAGCACAATAGCCACCTCGCTGGCTTTCACTTTCCACTTTTCCACTTTCCACCTTTTCACTTTCCACTTCTCACTTGATGAATCGCGAGGTGGCTGAGGGGCCAGCAGTGTGGGCCAATTAAATGGAAAACGTTTTCATGTCCCGCGAATCGTTGTCGTGGCTTTTGATGGATGCACTCCCGCCGCCAAAACACTCGATTGAGCAGTCAGCTCCCCCTTCCCCCTCCCTCCATCCATCCCTTCCCCTTTTTTTCTCTATGCTCCTGAGTGACAGCTTCCGGTTGGCAACCGCCTGCATTAAGCCAGCCGTTCACACGCTTTTTGATATCGCGCCGCGACTTCCTGCAGGACAAATCCCAGATCCTCTCCGCTAGAGATTGGGTAAACAAGGGAAATCCTACCGGAGATATAGAAGTGCACCAGAAAAAAAACAAGATGTAAATGGTTTAAAAAATGCATTAAACTTGCGGATAAATAAGTCATATAAATATTTATAAAAATAATAGTGAGTAATATTTAATGAGTAATAACTAATAAAACAATGAAATCATATAGAACATTTTAAGGCAAGATTTATGCTAACTTCCAAAATATGGTTTCTAATTTTTTTTCTATGCAGGATGCTTATTTATGGACTTCTGTTTCTGTGTTTCTGTGTTGCTTTCATTGCTCCTCTGTTTTCAATATACTCTTGTTATGTTCTGCAGCACCCGGTTCGATTGTCTGGCAATTGATTTTGTTGCTGGCCGGGACTTGTTTGCCTTCCGAGCTTTGTATTTGCCGCACACGAATCAGATAGCCGTGTGTACCCGCAGAGTTGTGTGTATAGATATCCCATAAGCCACCATCAGCAGAAGTTTCAACATTTTTCAATGTAATCCTTGAGCATACTTGAAGGGAGTCCTGAAACTGATGGCCCCTGGCGAACAACAGACTCGAGTACCATCTGATTACCCAGGGTATCTCGTAGTTGGGGTTTCTCTTGTTGTTTTGCTCGCCACACATGTTATCGCCGTTGACATATATTTTTGGCAAATATTTATCAATTTATTACACTAAAAAATTGCTACAATTAAGTTGTAGCGTGTGTGTAACAAACGTGCCGAACGATGATTAAGTATCCCTTTTTTCCAGCTAAATAGAGTACGTCGGCAGCAGAAAGCAAATACATCAACGGAAGGAAGAGAGGGAAAGCAGAAAAGAGAAAGCAGAAAGCAGAAAGGAGCAACCGCAGGGCGGCGGACATGGCGTATACGCAATGCGCAGCATGTGCTATTACTATCGCTGCTACTGCCACGGCCACTTCGAGTCAATTAAGGAATTCACACGCCAGCGGACACTGTAATTGAAGCCCGCACCTGTTCCACCCTCCATTAGCTTGGTAGCAGCCTTGAATACTCGATCGGGAGAAGGGAACCTCACGAAGAACACCGAAATGTCCGCCTACCGCTACTTCTCAATCACGGACTTCTCCTTCGAAGGACCTCTGCTCCCGCTGCACGCGGCCACCACGAGCAAGGACGCCAAGGGGGCCGACAGCCCCAGCTCGGAGCTGAACATCCCCTACACCGTCTTCGAGGTCCTGGTGGCCATCGTGAGCATCATCGGCAACGTCCTGGTGATCATCGTGTTCCGGCGGGAGCGCAAGCTGCGCCGCCGCACCAACTACTACATCGTCTCGCTGGCCATGGCCGACCTGCTCGTGGGCAGCCTGGGCATCCCCTTCGCCATCCTGGCCTCCATCGGCCTGCCGCGGAACCTCTACGCCTGCCTCTTCACCGTCTCGCTGCTCGTGGTGCTCTGCACCATCTCCATCTTCTGCCTGGTGGCCGTCTCCGTGGACCGCTACTGGGCCATCCTCTACCCCATGGCCTACTCTCGCAATGTCCGCACCCGCACGGCGATATGTGAGTATCAGGGGGTTCCCAAGAATTGTATAATAATTAATCAGAAATAAGTTCACTCACTAGTAATGGCGAGGGCTTCACTTTCTGTAGATCAAATGCTTGTAAATATTTTAAAAAAAGCTATACTTCTCTGTATAGCTATACTTCCCGAAATGGGAAACCGCTTTACTTTCCCTGGGATAAATGCTTACAAATATCTTAAAAACAGCTATCTTCAAGCTAAGTAAATGGAAGCCCTTCAAAATGTTTTGTGGCAGGACATTGTCAAACAACTCTCGTTTTGCGGTGGCCATTGTTTAGCGCCTTTGTTGCTGTGATGCTAATGACTCTGGATGGCTAATATACGCCACATTGTTCTTCGTCTCTGCCATCGACCATGTTTGAGTTGTGGCTTGGCCAAGACAAAAGAGCGGCTCATCTGGACTGCAATTGAACAGATGCCAGAGGGAAAGCACACAATAGTAGAAATCCTCAACTAATATAACTAAAACACTAAGAAGCAAGATTTTTATTAGCAAACTGGTATAGTTTTATTTACCAAGAAATTCCATTCAATTGAATAATACATAATAATTAAATGTATTTATTAAAGCACTACTTCCTTAAGTATTCTGCAACAAGTTTATCGAGTTGCTTGCTTGCAACTCATCAGCTGCCTTGGAAAATGATTAAGAGGCACATTACTTGCGTCATTTGGTCGGACAGTTTAGTGACTCGAAGTTCGAGAAAATCCCAGTAGTTGCTTCAGGGAATTGCAGTCTCCCCGTATGACGTTCTCTCGAAGGGCTTCAGGTCATGGCCCCCATTTAAACCCTTGTTCTTATTCCATTGCAGTCATCATCTCGATGTGCTGGGTGGCCGGCACGATAGTGGGCTTCCTGCCCCTCTTCGGCTGGCACGCGACGTGGCAGGACAACCAGGAGTGCCTCTTCGTCGAGGTGATGGACTACAACTACCTCGTGTTCCTCTACTTCGCCACCATCATCACCCCGGCGCTCCTGATGCTGGCCTTCTACACGCACATCTACCGCGTGATCATCAAGCAGGTAGGAGCACTCACATTAGTTTGATTGCGATGCTAAATAGTATTCCCAAAGGTGCGACAAATCGTGACCATGAACCCCGCCTCCGATCTCAGCCGGCGCTCCTCGGCGGCCGTGGTGCAGGTGACCACTCCGGGGAGGAGTGGCCACACGGGGACGATGCTGCGGGTCCTGGGGGCGGCCAGGAAGCGGGACGTGAAGGCCACCCAGAACCTGTCCATCATCGTGCTGTTCTTCATGATCTGCTGGATCCCGCTCTACACGATCAACTGCATCAAGGCCTTCTGCCCCAGCTGCTACGTAGAGCCGCAGCTGACGCTCTTCTGCATCATCCTCTCGCACCTGAACTCCGCCGTGAACCCGGTCCTGTACGCCTACCACCTCAAGGACTTCCGGGCCGCCCTGAAGAACTTCCTGCTGAAGATGATGGGCGTGGACATCGACCAGCAGGCGGAGGCCATCCACCGCTTCTCGGTGGCCAGCCAGCACCGCCTGCAGTCGATGGACTCCAACATGCGCTCCACGCAGCCGCGCCTCTATGTGGGTGAGTGTGAGTGCGCGACGTCTTCTGGGCTCTCCTTCGGAATCGCTATAATCCTTCTAATCCCTCCCCGTAGATTCCCCCATCTGGCTGAGGCAGCAGCAGGAGGCGCTGAAGAACTCACAGCTGCTGCCCAAGTGCGGAGTGGTCGCGCCCTGCTTCAACAACATCAACCAGACGATGGCCTCGGTGGCCTCGGTGACCACGGACATGGAGCGGGGAATGTGGAACATCGTGGAGGCCTCCAGTGGCGCGGAGCTGGGCGAGACCAGCTACGAGTTTCCCTCGCCGAACCTGGCTTCCCAGCGCAGCAGCGAGCGCAACAGCAGCTCCACGGTGCCACCGGCTCCTCCTTCAGCTCCTTCAGCTCAATCGGTTCCTTTGGCTCCTTCGACTTACTCGAAGCCTTCCTGCGCCTCCTACGACAACCACAACTTCAGCTTCAGCCAGGACGAGGACGAGGATGAGGACGACCTGGAGTTCGAGGACGTCTTTGTGCCGGCCAGCTCAGTGCCCAATCCTTCCCAGCCCGGCATAGATCCCGTGGAACTCCGTCGCTCGTTGGCTTTGGTGATGAGGGAGAAGCTGCGGTCCGACGACACGGACTCCAGAACCCTTCAGGAACTGCCCGTGGATGCAGAGTCCAGGGAGCGACCCCTGTCCATCCAGACCTCGCCCACGAATGGTCCGCTTCCGGCCCTCCTGAGGGCCAAGCTCTTCGCGGGCAACTCCAACAGCGCTCACTGCCTGCCAGGATCGACGACGAGTCCTGCCGCCAAGGAGTCGGGCGTCTTTGTGATCGACAGCGAGGCGAGTCCCGGCTCCAACGGCCACAAGCCCAAGTACCGGAAGGGCACGGCTCGAACCAGGAGCTCCCTGAAGAAGAGCCGATCCTGCAACTGCAGCTCCGCGGCAAAAGGACGCGGAGCCCACGAGGAGCACAGCAGCAATCTCGGCAGGGAGCAGGATCAGCATCCAGTTGGCCATCCCTCGGAACACTTCTTCAGTCCGCTGCGGTCCGTGGGCAGCTACATGCAGCATTCCAGCCTGTTCCACTTCCTGCAGCCCCACGCCGCCCGTCCCACCTCCTCGGCCGCCACGCCCACTCCCTCGCCGCCGCCCATGATGGTTGAGGAGGGGTCGGTGCCGCCGCCTCTGACCACCTCCTCGCCGTCCCTCCTGGCGACCGGTGCGGAGAGTTGACCTCCCCCGGGGAGCAAGGAGCAGAATCCCCGGGAGAATAAGGATATGAAGGATGTGAAGGGGTCGAATGGAGATGATCCCTGAGGAAATACTCGCAAGTCCAAGCTTTTACCCTAAGTACTTCCCGGCTCTCATTAGCGCTCTTCCGGAATCGGAGGACTCGTTGTCAAATTCAATATCGGATCTAGATCAATTAGTTGGTTAGTAAGATTTGCAGCTAGAGATTAGGAGCTACGCGCATTTATTTCGAGTGTATGGTCAACTCGTTTCCATGGAGTAGTTAATTATGTACATATGTGTAATGTCGTTAGAGTATTTTAATGTGTAAATGTCTGCTTATGTATACCTGATCGTCTGTGAAAACCAAGTTAAGCCATGCGACATGAATTTCAAAGTTGAAGTTAAATAAAACGATTAAACAGATAACGAAATCGCCTTTTATTAATTGAAATATGCTGGGACATGGGGTGGCGTTTAAGTATCTGGTTGGTACCCTTGCCGACAATTTTTGGGCCAAACGCAGTTTGAAGTACCAGGCGAACAGAATGCAAGAGTTGGTAGCTACTCTTTTTAAAGATTTATTCATTCCTTCCAAAAGTATGCTACACATTTTTATGGAAAATTTATACAGCCAAAAAACGCCAACTAATGCATTTTGTTGACCTGTTACTTTAAAGTATTTTTATACGTCAAAATACTTCAACATTCGGTCGTTTAAAACGCTGTAACTTCGTTAGTTTGGCTCTAATTGACTCCAAATTTTTACACAACGTTCTCGAGATATTGGTCTTTTAGAAAAAAAAGGCAAAAAAAAAAATTTTTTTCAATCTGGAAAAATTTATATAAAAATCGTCATGGCTTAACTATAAAAGCCTTAATGCATTTTTCTCCGCATTTGTGACGACTACAAGGGTATATCGGCTTCGACTTGCCGAAGCCAGCTTCATTTCTTGCTAAATTTGAGAGGGTGACAATTCTTTTTCTAAAAGCTCTTCCAAAGCTTCCTGGAAGCGACGCCAAAAAAGTTGAGCCCCAACAAATGAACTCCCCCATTTGTTGGTTTAAGTCCCAACTAATTTTGAATCTCAAATTAATTTTGAAAATGCCAGCAAGCGGCTTATGTAATGTTAGAATTACTGTTTTTATGCCTTTGACAAAATTAAGTATTGTACTGGAGAAATTGTAACCTAAGTGGATATGAATTTAGCTGAGCTCTGCAAGCCATTTAGTAAAAGTATCCACCGATTTGCAACTACAACGCTCCTCCGACCAAATCTGCTCCAGCAGACCCACCTTACCATGGACCAGAACCTTCCCACTGTGGGTGGGGTTACGGCGGAGGTGCTGAAGGCCGTCGTTTCGCAAGCTCTGCTCGGCAAATTCACAGCTGTTTTTCCAAAGCTTTTCAAGTGCCAGTGGAAGACCTACGAAGGTCAAAAGAAGGTTAGTACATCAGCAGACGGACTTCGAGGTGGGTGTGTGCCGGCGATCTCTCCGGAAATTCAGGAAAACCTGAAAGAAAAAGTGACCGGCAAGCCTCCTGTCACCAAATTACCCCTTGAGCTTACCGGCTCGGAACTCTCCACCAGTCACTGATAAACTAACCAATCCCGATCCGCAGTTCTACGCCAATTTCAGCACCGATTGCATCGACACCAACAACATGAGCGGCCGAAAGTTCTGCGTGGGGGGCAACTGGAAGATGAACGGCGACCAGAAGTCGATCGCCGAGATCGCCAAGACCCTGACCTCCGCCGCCCTGGACCCCAACACGGAGGTGGTCATCGGCTGCCCGGCCATCTACCTGATGTACGCCCGCAACCTGCTGCCCGGAGAGGTGGGTCTGGCCGGCCAGAACGCCTACAAGGTGGCCAAGGGCGCCTTCACCGGCGAGATCTCGCCGGCGATGCTCAAGGACATCGGCGCCGACTGGGTCATCCTGGGCCACTCGGAGCGCCGCGCCATCTTCAACGAGTCGGACGCCCTCATCGCCGAGAAGGCCGAGCACGCCCTGGCCGAGGGCCTCAAGGTCATCGCCTGCATCGGTGAGACCCTCGAGGAGCGCGAGGCCGGCAAGACCAACGAGGTGGTCGCCCGCCAGATGTGCGCCTACGCCCAGAAGATCAAGGACTGGAAGAACGTGGTGGTGGCCTACGAGCCCGTCTGGGCCATCGGCACCGGCAAGACCGCCACTCCCGATCAGGTAGGTTCTCTCCATTCTCCCACTCCCTATCAGTACTAAAATCCATATCTATCTATCTATTTTGCAGGCCCAGGAGGTGCACGCCTTCCTGCGCCAGTGGCTGAGCGACAACATCTCGAAGGAGGTCTCCGCATCGCTGCGCATCCAGTACGGCGGCTCCGTGACCGCTGCCAACGCCAAGGAGCTGGCCAAGAAGCCCGACATCGACGGCTTCCTGGTCGGAGGCGCCTCTCTGAAGCCCGAGTTCGTGGACATCATCAATGCCCGCCAGTAGGAGCTTCCATCTCCAGCCACCGAACACAATTGCTAGCGAACTGCCCGCGGAATGGATTGGAGTCCGCATTGCATTGTCACGCACACTCTTCGTCGTTGTCGCCATCAGTGCAGTTCCAAATTCGAAGTTACCTGGTGGAGAGCTACTCACATACCCGTTGTTAACCGTAGAGTCCATTGTGTAAATCCTAAATTATTCAGGCAATAATTATACGCTTCTCATTTACTCATATACCAAAGCGGACGAGTGTTTTCTTTTTGCAAGAGTGCTTATGGCCAGCTATTAATAGAGCGAATGGCCCGACGATATGTATATGTGTCACCTCTGCGGACCTTAAACCTGCGAAATTATTACTTAATTTTTGATAAGAGCACGTAATATGAAGCTTTGCAGAGAAAGTTTAATAGAATATCTGAAGATCTCTAGATAAATAGAATACCATTTTTACATTCTCCCACATTTTTGTTTATGTTAACCAGCTTTCAAGATTAGCAATATTGCAGCAGATAGACCAATTTCAGATAAGGAGGAAACAGTTTATACTACCAATGGTTAGAGTTCACTACTTATCTGGGTGTTTTTGTACTCCAGATTGGACACAGGCTTTGCAGTTATGAAATCGCATGCTGTTGAAAAATGTTGCTTCCAGATTTTGTTAAATTATGATTATAACCAAGTGACCTCTGCAAATATTTGATATGACAAACTCCTAGCACATCCCTTTTTAGTCATTCTGTTTCCAGTTTCAGTACACACCGATTTTATTCAGGCTGCAGTTTTATATAAAAAAAAAATTGACTAAGTTTTAGCCAAATCTGTAGACGTGAAGCAAATTCAGATCTCTATTTTAGCTGTTTTTTAAAGTTAAAAGTTCCCAGCATCACCATGTCGCAGAGCTACGCCTACGACGTGATTCTGGTAAACTCCAGCCTGCCGATTCCTCGCAAATCTGGAAGCTTAACTGCGGCAGGAGGCCCCATCTACTCAGTCCGGCTGTTCGAGGACTTCGAGGACTTGGCCATAGAGCGCCTTTTCGTGGAGGAGTTCCCTCCGGATGTCCTGTCTGGCTTCACGGCCAGTCCCTGTGATTTGATTGGGTCCCTTACCTCCCATGGCGTCGGCGTAACCGTAAGGGAGAACGACGAGGTCATTGGATCGGGCAGTGGCATGCTGGGCTCCTCTCTTCTGCGACAGCTCACGGATCCCTTCTTCACCGTCACCGAGAAACTAAAGGTGGAGCTGGTTAAAGGCAAGAAAAGTGTCGGCGAAGTGGAGCTCCTCATAAAAATCAGCTCCGAATCTCCGGATATAAAGTACGTACAAAGTATATAATTAATTTATACATTTTAAAGTACTACTTCTTTGATTGGTTGGTTATGCATAATCAATTTCGTAATCCTTTCTAGTCACGGCCTCGTTCCATTCGGCTGCTATGATGTCTGCAAGCCGGTGGACAACTCGATCAGCAAAAGGGACATCATCTTCACCCTGGGTCGCTCTGGAAAGTGTCCCACGAACACCTGCATCACGGACGAGCGCCTGATGTCCCACGCCGGAGCTCCCTTCAAATGTCCCCATGCGGCGGCCGACAATCCGGAGGTTCTGGGCAACGAAGGGGGAGCCGACGCAAAGTGCGGCTGCCTCGTGGCCGGAATGCAGGTTCCCAAGGACGACAAGACCGCCAAGAAGCGGGAGCGGGCTGCACTCAAAAAGCTCGTCGAGGAACTGGGTCTGGATGATATAAAAGTTCCCATTCCGCCGCGCTCACATGCAAAGTCGCGCAGTTGGCACTGCAAGTGCACCTCGCCGCCTTCCACCACGGACAGCTCCTCCTGCGGCGCCAATGAGTTGGATTGGGAAGGGGCTGCCAAGAGGCGCAAGGCCTTATCCTTGACCACCTCTCGAGATCAGAAGGCTCGTCGAAAGCTAATGGGATCCTGCCCGGTCAAGGAACCCGAACTCAAGCAGGAGGCCTACAAGCCACCGCATCTCTGCCAGCTCTGCCACTCGGACATCAGCTGGCTGCCCAAGATCTCCGCCTGTCCCTACTGCGGCTACAAGACCTTCGACGAGTTGCGTCCCAGTGAGGAGCCCTACGATCTCACGGCGACGGCGCAGCAACTGCTGATGGACTGCCTGCGCAAGGATCCCTGCAGACAGAGCTCCTCTGGATCTTCGGCAGATGATAGTCTGGCGGAGAGGATAAGGAAAATCCAGGACGACAGTGACCCCAATATCCCCAAGCGATGTGCCTGCCTGGGCGGCAAACCATGCACCAAGTGCCGCATCCGCAAGCTCTGCGAGAACTTCTTCAAGGATAATGAGTGCAAAGCCCAGATAAATCCGCTGCCAGAGGCCCAACCAGAAGCCATTCCCAAGCCCACACCAGAAACAGACCAGGTGCAGAAAAAGAACTCGACCACTTCCCAACGTCGATCCCAGCTGATCTCGATCTTCACGGAGATGCGGGACTTGTACGGCAATAAGAAGGGCGCAGAGGAGGAAAGCTGCGCTGGCGGAGGAGCTGAAAAAGAAGTGTGAAGCAGCCTGCCGAAACTCCAGGTCCGCCAGGGCGCGCAGGAAGGCCCGGAGGTCGCTGAGAAGGGCTTTGAAGGAGATCGACGAGGCCTACCCAAAGCCACCTAAGATGCGGGTCAAGAAGAAGCGGGTTCACAAGAAGTCCAAATGGTGAGATGGCTTCCAAATCCCTGTAAAATCCACTAAGTTTCCTCATTCCTTCGCAGCTACACGTTCTTGAAGTACAAGAAGCAGCCGAAGGATCCCCGCATCGGCCACACGGACTGCATCTCGGACGGCAACTACACGGGCTACTGCAAGGTGCCCTGCCACATGGGCTGGATGTGGACCAAGAGCGAGCTGGCGCGCCACAAGGCCTGGCGCCCGGGAGCCATTGCCCGGCCGATCCGCCAGCTGATGGCCTACTTCCTCAGGGACTACCCCGCCGATAAGCTCTGCCTGTCGCGCTACCACTACCGCCGCAGGAAGTGCCCCAGGGATCAGGAGCAGGAGCAGGAGGAGCCCCTGGTGCAGCACCCCACGCTGCACATCTGTCGCAAGGGGGACGAGTACATCATCACCCTGCGTCCGCTGAAGGAGCCCAAGGCGCTGGCCTCCAGCGCCAATCCGTACGCGGACATGAAGCCCGTGGTCTTCCGGATCACCAAGGACCCCATGGCGGTGGCCCTCCGCCAGATGCGGGTGGACCTGCAGGACAAGGGGTTCGCGCCGTGCACCTGCCGCCGACCGGTGGCCAGTTGCTTCTGCCGCAGCCACATCGACAAGAAGTGCATCCAGAGCGAGGTGGCCAACCTCTGCCGGCAGCGCGGCTGGGCGAACAACGCGGACAGCTTCGTCTACTCCCCGAACAGCGACGACGACGACAGCGACCGGGAGTACGAGTTCGGGGTCACCCCTCCGGCGGGGGTGATCAAGCCGGACCGGAAGAGGCGGCCGGACAGGGCGAACGTGGAGACTCAGTACAGGGAGCTCGACTGGGCGGCGCCCTCCATGTATCCCCATCCCGCCAACATGATGGTCCAGTACGGCGCCTGCGTGATGGGCGAGCGCAAGAAGAAGTTCCCCTGGCTCTACGGAAAGGGCAACGTGCACGCCCCCCGCCGAAGCCCATCATGAAGAATCCGCCCAAGAAGAAGCCGCGCAAGAAGCTTCCCTTCCGGGCAGCTGGCGGCTACGAGGATCCCCGCCGATTCGATCCCACTCCCTTGAGCAGGCCTTGGCACAGGTCGTCCTCCCCGGGCTACGTTGAAATGTACTGATCATCCATTGAAGCACTTTTAAATCTTAAATGAACTATGACGGTTAGGCTGTTCGAATAAAGCCCATTTTATTTAACTAAAAACTGCATTTTTATGGGTGTGCAGACGAACACTATTGAGATCTATGCGCGTGTGCATCAGTGAGTGCTGCTGACACTCTTAATTTTTAAGTACAGGCTATTTTTAGTAAAAGTCTGAAATATACTTATCACTGTAAGATTTGCGTAGTCCATAGATTCCTAGAATATTTTCCTATATAAATCGAAACACAAGACAAATAAAATTGAGTTTCCTAAACTCAATCCTGTAAGTGTTCTTATTTTGGAGCCTTACAATGGGTACTAAAAATAATATTTTTAAATTTTCCGAAGGAGGTTGATATTCATAAGTTTAGATTTCTTCCTTGATTCGGAAGGCTTGCTATCAAAAGTATTAGCTTGCCTAACGTTTCCGAATAGGTAGCTTCTCCCAAAGGATGCCGAGCGTTTCACTTCACCTAAACGTCATAAGATGTTTTCCCAACCCACTTCATTCTCTGTTTGAAGTTCAGGTCGATAGCTGTAGGCTCAGGTCCTAGACAAATTACATAATTTTAAGTGAATTTTCTTGGCTTCGCTGCGCTTTTTAAATTATTTGTGCAAGGAAATTTTAAGACTCGTGGACGACCCGGGATCATCTGATTGCAATGGAGACGTCAGTTTGCCCGGCGCCGCCGCCGGAGAAGAAGGAGAAGCCGGTGGAGGAGCTGATGGACTGGGAAACCTTCTACAAGCACCGCGGGATGGTCAGCACGCGACTGGCGAGCAAGAAGGCGGACTACATGCACTGCTCCACCTACGAGGAGAAGGACAAGAGCAGGGGCAAGGACAAGGACAAGGAGAAAGAGAGGAAGGAGAAGGAGCAGAGGGAGAAGAACAAGAAGAACTGCGCCGCCTGCTGCTGCTCCTCCTGCGTGGTGCGCGACCGCGACGAGGTCTACCAGCCCAGGTGCCCGGGTCCTGGCCAGAAGGGCAAGCCCAACAGGGACTACATGCGCTGCTTCGCCGCCAAGCTGATCGTCCAGAAGCTGGACATGCCGGGCCGGGACTTCGAGTGCCGGGACAAGCTGCAGGTGCGGGCCGACGTGTGCCGCGGGTGCAAGATCTGCCTGAACGCGAACAGCATCAACGTCAACTGCCTGCCGGCGAACCCCAACAAGACCTTCCAAATGGAGCCCGAGTGCCTGCAGCGGCAGCTCACCGAGGGCATCTCCATCTCGGTGGTCTACATGCGCAAGGAGATCGGTGGGTTAAGGCAGTATATCCTGTAGGTTAGCTAATCCTATCTGCAATCCCCTGCAGCTCGCGGCTGCTACTTCCCCCCAGCGGCGGTGATCAGCCGCATGATCAACGAGTTCTACGAGATCGTGCACGACGCCAACGTGGAGCTGACCTGCAAGGGCTGCACCGTCGGCATGGTGAACATCCGCTTCGCGATGCTGATGCGCTGCCAGACCATCAAAGAGTAAGTAGCGCCTCCAAGGACCTGATCCTGATTGCGATAGCGCCTGAACTTCAACAGAGTTGCGGGCGGACGATTGGCGGGCGGCCAGGAGCGGGGCTGCTGCGCGGCGGCGGCGGCGGGGAGGAAGAGCTGCGTGGACGGGAACGTGGACCCGCAGGACGCCTCCTACATGTCCTCCTCCTCGATCGATCCCTGTGCGGGTTTCATGCCCAGTGACATGGAAGTGCCTCAGGAGAGCCCCTCCTGCTGCAGCGATGATAAGTGCCCCGTTTTCGAATGCAAGGTAGTGGAGATTCCCTTTGTAACCATGAACACACTTGTAACCAGCTTCTCCCAGGAGCCCCCTCCGCGACTGGTGGACATGGCGGGACCCTTTCCCGTCTACTCCTGTCCCAACGTGGACGACTGCTGCGTGACCATTGAGCCGCCGGCGGGACCTTCCACCCAGTTCTCCCCCTTCCACAAAAACGTCCTCGGGGAGGGAAACACCAACCGGGTGTGCCAGAAGCACTCCTCCCCCAAGCTGCGCCAGATGCACATCAGCCACGCCCGGTCCTGCGTCCTGTGCGGCGAGGACGTCTCCTGGCTGCCCAAGGTGGCCGCCTGTCCCTGCTGCGGCTACAAGCCGGTGCCGGAGTTCAAGGAGCGGCCCTACGACGAGGCGGCCACCGCCGAGCAGATCCTGCTGGACCACCTGGAGAACCCCGTGGAGGAGCTCAGCTTCGACATGGGATCCGTGGAGGGATGTCCGGGTGAGGGGGGAGCAGGGAGACCTTGGTCGCACCTCCGAGGCCTTCGAGGCCATCGTGCGGGACTACCAGGTCCTGCGGCGCAGCATACGCGAGTCCTCCATGACGAAGGCCTGCCAGTCGGTGACCAAGAAGCCGGCCAACTTGCCCGCTCAGGAGGAGGATCCGAAGCCCCAGGATCTGGTCAAGGTCTTCGCCGAGCTGCGGGACCTCTTCAAGGTGAAGACCCCCGACGAGGAGCAGCGCATCCAGGACATCTGCACGGAGGCCTGCAACCTGGCCAAGGCGCAGAAGAAGGCGAAGAGTCGCCAGAGCTCCCCAGAAAGGAAGAAGGCGGGAGCAGCGAGTGAAGATCAGGATCCCTGCGCCGTTCCGAAGCGCAAGAAGCGGCGTCCGCGGACCAAGCGGCCCTTCAAGTCCAGGTACTACTCCATGTACCGCCCGCGGGAGAGGCCCAGGATCACACCGGAGTGGGCGGAGAAGGACAAGAAGGTGCCCAGCAACATGGGCTGGCTGTGGACGGCCCACCCGCTGGCCTCCAAGCCGGGATGGCGACCCGGGGCCATCCGGCGCTCCATTCGCGGCATGATGCGCTACTTCCTGAAGGACTTCCCCGTGGACAGCGTGCCCGTGTCCAAGTACATGTCCTACTACAACCACAAGAAGTCCGCGAAGTCTCCGCCGGGCGAGAGGCCCGAGGACCTGGTCCAGGTGCCCACGCTGCACATCGAGAAGAAGAACGACGTGTTCACCATCACGCTGCGTCCGCTGAAGGATCCCAAGAGCCTCGCCCGCTCCGCCAATCCGTACGCGAGCATGAAGCCCGTGCAGTTCAGGATCGTGAAGAACCCGCTGCTGAAGGAGATCCGCGACCTGAAGCGCTGCCTCAAGGGGATGGGCTTCAGCAAGTGCTCCTGCCACAAGCCGCTGATGACCTGCTACTGCCGCAGCTTCGTGGACAAGAAGCGGCTGCTCTACCACGTGCGCCGCGAGTGCGAGCGGCGGCACATCGAGTCCTGCGAGGACGACCTCGTCCTCACCGACACCTCCGACAGCGAGGCGGAGTTCGACTTCGGGGTCACCCCGCCGGCGGGCCTGATGCACCCGGAGCGGCTGAAGACCTCGCACATCAAGCACACGGAGACGCAGTACGACGAGGCCGACTGGACGATGCCCAGCCTGTACCCACACATGCCCGATGCCACCGTTCAGTACGAGAGCTGTGTGATGGGCGAGCGGAAGGAGCCGTTCAAGTGGATCTACGGCAAGGGCGTCATCCAGGAGGAGCCCAAGCCGCCCAAGATGCGCAACATCCCCAAGAAGCCGAAGAGGAAGAAGCCGGTGCCGGGTCGCGTGGCTGCAGGATTCGCGGGCCAGGAGCACCTGGACTCCAGCATCTACAGCAGGGTGAACCACTCCGTTCCACCGCAGTTTCGAGTGACCCACGTGGCCCCCCTCGCAGTCCCCCCAACTACTCCACCGACTCGGAACTCCCGCTGAGCGGCGACCACATGCGGCTCCTCGATCAGGCGGCCTATCCCCCGACTGCTCCCCAGCGGAGGAGGGAACCCTGGGCCGTGGAGTTGGGCAAGGAGCAGCAGAGGCAGAGGGTCAGGCGGAGGACGAAGAAGCTGGTGCGGTTCGATCCCACCATCGGTCCCCACACCTCCGACAGCCACATCCCCTAGATTCGCACAGCCGGGTCGCTTCAGTTCCACACCCACACCCACACAAATTTCCCCCCATCCACACTCGATTTTAGCTACCCACCAATGTTCCGATGATAGTCACCCGCGTAAAATTGTAAGTTTTAATAAACACCTAAATTAAAAGCATTGCTTTAGTGCCTTGGCGAAGTTTATTTTCGGGAGTAAACTGAGGCTATAGGATTACATAATTAATGCCGAAATAAATGGTTTCCATATCATCCAAACCTTAACCTTTAGTAGCTATACCGTGATCATATAATTATTCAAAATATGTTTTGTTTGTTTAACCCTAACACATTTTTACTGAACGAAATTCAAATAGTCACTCTATGAGGTAATTATCCCACTGACAGTTTGTTTATCTAACCTTAACACCCTAACACGACCCAAGGAAGTCTTCAGTAATTCCCATGGTTCCCTTGCTCAATTCCGGATTGTTTACCCAACCTTTGTCGCACTGCTGGTGACATAACTGCAGCCCATAAGCGAGTTCACTCCGCGGAATATGCAAATTTTCCGGGCCACCGTCGCCCACAAATGTCTTTCTAATAAGGAGAGTTTACCTTTAGATCCCCACTGCACAGAGAAAAATATCAAATGTTTGTCATAAATGCTTTTCGAACGAATAACCGAAGATATAATTAAACTAAAACATTTTGTGAGTACATACAAGTAGTTTTAACAAGCAAAGAAAAAGTTTCAATTCTAATCTTTGGTTCACATAAAGTTGGGAAGCTATCCAGTTTTTCTGCGTGTATCTTTCGTCGCGGACTGTTGCACTCGCTCTATCAGAGGCACCATCTTTTCTCACTCGCATTTGTTGAATCACTTACTTAAGCTTCCACGTTTTCTTTCCTTATCCTTTGCGAATCAGTTATCGTTATTCAATCAATCGTTGAGCATCTGCCGCCGCGAACTCCCAAACTCGAATTCCGCGGAGCGTTAAAGTCGCGCCTCCGTCTTACGCCTTGGTGTTCGGACTAAATGAATATCATATCTTGATTGCCGGAGCGTGGGGCATGTAATTCCCCGACTTCGTAGAGCTTACAAAGTGTGCTCCGAGTTTCGGAGCGGCGCTCAGACGAGTTGCAACCGCTCGGGCGACAGCATGTGGTTGGTGCGGACCTTGTACTTGCTGGGTGTAATGGCCCTGTTTCCGCTTTTGGGTTACTTCGGGGAAAGTGTCGATCATCTGAGCTACGGCGACTTTTACGGCAACGCCAGCGCCAGAATGCTTCGATTCCGCGACTTCGAACCTCGTCACCAAAGTGAGCGAATGGATCGGGAACTTGCAATCGAAGGAGATCAGAATTCCGAGCTGGAACGCGAGGGTCGTGGCTTCCATTTCCATGCCAGCGGAGAGGATGTCAGTGTGGAGCTGGAGTTCATCGTGCCCTTCATCAAGGTTCCAGTGAAGAGGAGCATGAACCTGGCCCGCGACGCCGTCCAAAGTATCCTCAACTTGAGAACCGGAGCTCTGATCAACACGGCAGTCGTAGTGGCCGCTGGAGCAGTGATTGCAGCAGTGGTACGACTACTCATAGCTCCACTCGTTATCACTTCTATTGGGAACGGATATGGCTATAAGTCCGAGACAGGCAGAGACAGTAAGTATACAGTATATTACCCGAAGATGGATATATTTTAGAATATTATTTATTCAACAGTGCGTCGCCTGACTGATGTGGTGGAGTCCCAACTGGAGGAGCACAACATCGACATGTCTGTCTGTGTGCAACGGATGATCTGCCAGTATCTGCAGAGGAACATATCTTCTGGCTATGCCAGGGTTCTGAATGTTCTGACCAGGTAAAATTATAAATTTATTAAATCTTTGTGCACTCTAATTTGAATTATATTTACAGCTCTTCCTGGCTTCACTCTTTTGTCGATGGAACTGCAGTTTTCCATGCCATCCAAACCGCAAGGAGCAGTCGCAATTGCGTTCACACTTATCGCAGCTGTAGGTGGCCCAGTCACTTAAACTGGAAACCGGGAGGCTTATCACAAATATTTAAGTTTTTTAATGGATAGTCTGTTAGCATTGTTTCAACATAAAATAGCTTACAGTTGCTAGTTTATTTGTTCTTAGTTCTAGAATAGAAAGTAATGTTCTTGAGATTAAAACTGAGAAATATATTTATAATATTATTTATCGTTTATAAGAAGCCAATTTCAATAAAAAGAATCACCAAAAATATCACATCTCTTTCCTTCGTCGAATACTTTCTTATGTAATAGAAATGCCGGGAAATTGGATTAATTTCTGCCACTTCTCCACCAATTAGAGAAGGTGATTATAGCTACCTTCCGCTTTCATCTGGCCCGACATTTCCTTCAGCTAATCGTTTTCGCACCTCCGTACTTGTTATGTCACACTCCCCAAATTGTTGCATTTTGTTTAAAGACGTGAGTGGGAACTAGAGTCACACTCGAAATTATAGCAGCCACGAGCCAGCCAAGCGGCAATTACACGAAAAGAAAATTTATAACAATTTGTATTAAAAATATTAAAAAGATTTAATTTAAGCAATAAAATTTGAAGTCTTAAAAATCAGCGTAAAATTTATTTGTGGTATTTTAAAATACATAATATATAATCGAATATAATGTATAAACTTTGCATGAGGGGTTTTATTTTTCAGTGCACAGGGAACGCATCGAAGCAGATCGACGGCGGTGGGTAAAAAGTGTGCTGGTGACACCGCCTGGGAAATTGATTCAAATGTTCAGCAACTTCGCAGTCGGACGGGTGTAACCGGAGAAATGAAGCTATTGTACCTGACCTGTGCGCTCCTGGCGAGCTTCGCTGTGATTTGGGCCGCCAGTGGAGAGGAGGAACAGGAGGAGGAGCCGGGAACTGAGCAACTTGCCAAGCAGCACAGCTCGAGGCAAAGTCCTGGCCAAGGATTCAAGATCATATCCTTCGATGCAGTGGGCAAAAACATTGCTCTGGGTCTGGATTACCTAGTGCCCTTTCTGGAGGTTCCTGTCAAGCGAAAGAGAAATGCTCCGCCGAAGGTAATACTTCGCATTGATTTAAAGAAAAAAGTGCAACAAAATCGTGGTTTATAAAGTGATTTTTGCGAGCGTTTTAATTTTGCTCGGTTTTGTACTTACATGATTTTTCAGCCACTTGTGATCGTAAATTCAGCGGCAGTTGTTAGCTGTGGACTCGTGGTGGCAGGAGGAGTTCTTGTGGGCCACTTGATCCGCAGCTTGGGATTGGAAGCCATTACAGGAGATCCGACCAAGCCCATTTTCGGTAACTCTTCCTTTCTTAAACCAAAGTCCTCGGAGGAGATTTCACCTACCTCTACTCCTTCACCTGGATTGAATGCTACAAATGCCACCTCCAGAGGACTTTTCGATGAGGATCTTAACATTTCTGGATTCTTTGACAACTTTAAGCTGATATACCGCAACGAAACTGGAGACAGAGTGGGTATGTCTTTACTTTTAACACCAGTTTTTACCCATTTATTAAACTACAATTCTTTTGTTAGCCACAAGTCTTCCCAATATTATGGGAATCATCGAACAATCGTTCTTCAAGAACGAGGTTGATCTTTCCGTGTGCCTGCTTAAATCCATTTGCACTTTGACCCACAGAGCAGGTGAAAAAGTTCTGAAGGGTGAGGCTTCAGATGTGGAGCATCTACTGGATGGAGCCTCCAAGTGGTCCTGGCTGCTGGCTTGGCTGGAGCAATCCGCTTTTCGAGACGCCATCGATGCGGGGAAAGTAAGTTCGCCCCATCACTGCACCATCAAGTACCCGGAGTGTAAGTGGACGGCTCCGGAGGAGCAAATTATGGAGTTGTTGCGCAATAACGTCCAGTTTAAATAGGCTAATGCAAAATTACTACATATGTACATTACACGAATAAATGTTTTTACATTTACTCTACATGATCCGTACATGGATGGGGTTTGCGTCTCGAATTCGACGTCGAATTAATTTGCTTGCGTTAACAAAACTTACCTTACCTTTTAAAAAATTAAACAATTCCATTCCCTTCTATTAAAAATTCCAAGATTTCTGCATGCAACTTTCATCGAAATGAATTCTATATTTATTTGCCAATTAATATTAAAACAAGTTTAAAAACACTGAACATTGATTGAATTTGGATTAAGCAAGCAAACAGTTTGTTTTGTATGATGCGCCTTAAACAGAATTAAAACTAATTTACATAATCAAGGGATACAAAAATCGAGAAATTATTGAAACTGATTGACACAAAGTTAATTTATAGAAATGCACAAAGTATAGCCTGAATTTAAGATCAACTGAATCAAATTGGTATTTACTTAAACCACATAATTAAAGTTAAAGTATTAAAATTCCTACAAACTTTCATTGTAGCATTTGAAAACATTGAAATTAAAGACTTAAGCTAAGTTTTACATATTTTTTTTGTTTTTTTTTTTATCTTTTTTAATAATTTTTGTAAAACATGTTCAAAAACTCTTTTTTTTCGTCACAGCATTTTTGCTTGAAAGTTATAAAACAGAATACAACCGTCACCAAAAAACTTGTTTGAGCCTTCTAGCAAAAAACTATGAACATTTTCCAAGATTTTTTCCTCTTAATAAAATTATAATTTTAGTGTTATTTTTCGACTGGTACTTCTCCTCCTCTGCTAATTTGCTCCTCATCCTCTTGTTGTGTAAAGATTGCATATAGAAAAACATTAAGACTAAATTACATACGTGTATATTCTTCTGTTCTAGGCAGTTAACATGGCTACAAAACTATTCAAGTGTGATTACCCTTCCTGTTTGTAAATGTGTCGGTTAGCATGGGGTCGGAGGTCAGGGGTCAGGTGTTGGTTCGGGTTGGGATGGGTCAGGTTCTCGTCGGTCGGGTGGTTGGTTGGTTCGTTGGTTGGTTGTGCGGGGCTACCTACTTTCACGCAAGGCTCAAAATCAATCTTTTGGTTAGCTTCCTCTTCGATGCTCAGTTTAATTTCAATGTTTTCCTCAAATCCGCCCGAAAATGCCCCTCATCAAATGCAGTGCATGCAAGGACGAGGATCCTAGGCCATCTCCGGCCATCCCAGGACCTGCTCCAGCTGGTTCTCGCTGAACTCGAAGCCGCCCTCGCCCATGATGTAGTCGTCGTTGCACAGGTCCATCATCGCCGGCGTGTGCAGCAGGGGATTGCTGCTGTCCAGGAAGGAAATGGAGGTCTTCCTGCTGGGGGCGTTGCTTCCCGATCCGCATCCCTCGAGCTCCTCCTCACCAGTCTGCTGGATCACCGCATCCAGGGGCGGTGGGGCAGACTCGGCCTGCTCGCTGGCAGCAGCCGCTGAGGTCACCCTCTTGCGAGGTGACCCCGATGCCCCGTCCACCAGGCTGTTCTCATCGATGCCGCTGTCGCTCGAGGCATCCGTGTCGCAGGCCGTCAGACCCGGCGGCATGGAGTCATCTAGGGAGACCACCGAGCCAGTGTCGCCATCACCTCCTCCGGCGTCTGAGCCTCCGAAGACCGGAGACAGCTGGAAGTTGGTGCCGCTGATCAGCGGATTGTGGTGGAAGTCCCGCAGCACCGCCGACGTGGAAGTGTGGCAATGCAGAGGCAATCCGTACTTGCCCAGGGGGTTCGACTGTCCCAGGGAGTTGTCATCATCGATTATCATGGTTTCGGATTCGCCATCCTGTTTTTGGGGGCAGAAAAGAAGAACAAAAAAAAAAAACCATTAATTAGTAAAACGTATTTCATTCGGCACACAAAAAAAGTATCAGAAAGGAACTTGATCTCACAAAATCATTAGACTTTAAGGAACAACAAGATTAACTATCAAAGTTTCTTTCTGTGTAGGAAACACTACACAGCTCACAGGATTTTTTACAAATTAACCAAGGATTACAAACTTGTTTCGGTAAATGGATCGATTTACATAATAGCCCTTCCTAATCATAACTTATTGGTGTTTATTATTAATAGCTTACAATTAAAATTACAATAGTGACTTAAGTACCGCAATCTGTGCCTAAATTAATTTAAATTACCCTCCGAATTCCCCGGCAAGTGTCTCCCAGGAGTACGCAACTTTTGACTGAGTTTCTTGGCTATTCCTATGCAAATGCCGGCTATTAACTTGGTGAGACCTGTAGGGAGACTTTGATACCTTGACAGTAAAACGAAAATCGAGCGGAAGAACTGGGCTAAGTCGGAGCCACGAAGACGTTTAAAGTCACTCGCTCAAGCAGGCTCAAGTCGAATTCCCTGCGGAAAAGCCCCGGGAAAGCGAGGAACAGCAGGAAGCTCTCAGCCAGTGAAAAGCCAGGCGGGAAGGTCCAACCCGAAGCAGAAAGGCTGGGGAAACCCGCAATAAATCATATTTTAATGATGGTTGGGAATGGGTCCTGCTGCTCGCGCTGAAACAGAATCCGGCGGCGGGACATTATTATGCTCTGGATTTCGGATTGACACAAAGAACGCCCCCACTTTCGCTTAAGGAGCCACCAGTCCAAGTCCATTTCCACTCCCGCCAGTCAGACTGACAGGAAGTGGGGGGAATATATCAATTTCGACCGCTGCCAAGCGGCCGCCTGCATTTTTCGCACAGGGAAAATAACATATTAACGTTGGTTTTCTGCGATAATTTATATCATCAGTTTAATCGAAATTGATATAACGAGATTTTATTTATTTTACTTTACGTTATTTATTTTATGATTTTTTTCTGTGCAGACTTTCACAACTAGAAGACGAGGATAGACTTGTCAAAAATGACCACCATGGCTGTGATGACATCCTTTGGTCAAGGGTTCAAGTGCAGTCCGTTGACCCTCTGTTTGCCAAGCTTTCACCACGGACTGCTGGTCTTCGATTGCAGCGGGTGTTAATTGCAGCAATTACGAACTGAAGGCGAAAGTGCTGTAAGTTGAGCGGTGTGCAAACAAAACAAAAACAAATAAAGTGAAAGTGAAAGCGAAAGTCGGAGCCGTGACATCTGTACATGAGGGAACTCCGCTCCTGAGGGCACATCCTCGGAGGCAGTGGGAACCGCCCAAGAACATTTTTCCCTGTCCACGGCTGACAGGGCGTATGCGTAACGAAATGATGAGAAACTCCGATGGCACGCGCTTTCTCCCCAGGACATCGATGAAAAAGTAGGAGCCGTGTAATAGGTTTATTGTTTGATATATCGTGCGGCTTGACTTGGCTGCCCGGACTCGGCCATCGGCCTCTAATATGCTGTAATAAATTATTAAAGGCAATTGCTGCCACGCAAAGGCAGAACTATTAGATAAAGACGGCATTGTCCGCGCTAAAGGTTTCCGGAAATGCCAAGGCATTACAATAATTGGCAGTCCACCTCCGCTCCTCCACTTTGATGTCTTAGGCAGCAGCTTTGCGCCGACTTTATGGCGGATTTCCCCCGAGTTCTGCTGAGTCGGCTCTGCAGCAGGCCGCCGCGTTTAAAGCCGTCTAATTGGATTTTTCCTTTTTATGGCATCGCATTTCATCGACGCCTGGCTACGTGCCACGCCCACACGGCCCACGAAAGTCCAATAGGAAAACAAAAGCAATTAAAGCCAAACTTCGCTGCCAAGTTTCTGCAGAAAAATCTGCTGTCACCGCATAATAAAGAGGCAAGGCAGGCAGCAAATGTACGCAGGGACTACAGTAACATTCTGCTCAACTCGACTCTTATTGCGTAATTCTACGCATCGCAGCACTCCTGGGAAAACGCTCGAAAGGATTGCCCTCCCGACTTGCCAGGCCTTCCGTAACGAGGTGAAATTGAAATTGAAAACTGGGCCCCGAAATCAATAAGCAATAAACTTGAATAACTCATGCAGCCATCTTGGCCAACGAGAGACAACGAGGCGTATGCGTAATGCAATTGTCGCCAGGCATATTTTCGCTGAAGAGGGTGGGTTTTCGCTTTCCAGAGGTTGTTTGTGGAATTTAATTTCGGCACAGCGCTCGTGTGTGACGAAAATTCGTCATTTATTTACAGGGGAACGAAGCGAAAGATTTAAATTTGTCGGGAAAGTAAAACGAAAATCTCAAGATAACAGGGAAAGTTATCCATGTGTTTAGATGTGCTCGGCATACTCAAGTTTTTGCCTTGAAGACTCTGCTGCGAAGACAAAAGGAGGAAACGGCATTCAATTTGGGGGACAGGACCAGTTTGGGCAACTTGATTAGCTGGCAGCATCATTTATTCCAATCAAAAGATTTTAATAAATTGCCAGTCAGTGGAGCGACAGCCGGGGAACAGGCAAATACAACGCTCGATGCTGAATGGAGAATAATCAATTCCCGGGCCGGCCTGTCAATACAAATATGCTCGATGCTCGAGGGCCAATGTATGCACATAAATCGAGGGGAAAAGTTGTAAACAGCGACGGCGCCCAGTGCTTTTCCAAAGAAAACACAAATACAAACCCTGCCTTTCCCCGAGGAGCTTCTATCTCTTTTTTCTCGGCTGTATCGGTTGATTCGCTGGGGTTGCGGCTTTATTGTTTTATTGGATTTACTAAAATATTTATTAAAAGTTTATTAAAATACTTTATAATCCAGATATCATATCGTACTCGTATGCCATATCGTATCGTACTACGTTCGCTTGTATATGTATAAGTTGCTTGACATCTTGTATATATATATTTTAGTTATGTATATAGGTGTATATATGTATAATATTGCATACTTTGTGGCGTTTACACACTAGTTTTTTCCATACTTAGCGGATCGATTCGATCTGATTCGATTCGATACGACTCGAGTCTAATTCAAGGCTAGTTTCGCTCTACGCTGTCAAATTACGCTAACATCTTGTGGAACTGGAGGTATTCTCGGTGTGGTTCGTGTGCTGTTCGTGTGGGACAGGGTATCAGTATCAGTATTTTCGGGACGCACATAAGCAGCTTAGTCTGTCGACAAGCACAAGTAATTGTTGCAAATTAACCGGAGGCGCTGGAGAGATTTGTCGGCAAGGCGAATAGGGGCAAACGTCCCATGAAATGACTCTTCATTTGTCCGCCTCTCTGACAAATGACTCCGAGGTTGGGGTTTATGCAAAGGTTGTAACACTGCAGACACAACCGAGACCTGTTGATCTCGGCAGTCATAATCCAGCTTTGCATAATGCCCGCTCAATTAATCAAGGCTCCCGTTTGGAGTGAACTCCAAATCGACTGCTGGATGGGAGTGAAGTGACTCACTTCCTGGGCATTGGGAGCATTAATCAAAATCAGCCAGCCGCCAAATCAATTGCAACGCACACAAGTGCTTGTCACCCTGACTTCTCGCTTCGCTTATGATGAGTTGGCCAAAACGAGAGCTACAGAGCTACAGTAAACGGATATGTCAAGGGTGTTTGTATGTGTTTTTGTGTGTGGCATTAGCTCGCATGTCTGTCTTCATTGGCTAGCCCCAAATTACAGCTAATAAAGTTGCACAATAAATCTGTATTCAGGATTCAGGGGGGACTGTCTGTGTGTTGAGGTGACTCACAAATTTCACTAAGTTTACTTTTCGTTTCGTTTCGTTTTGATACTTTACTTTGAAGCTTCTCCGAGGTATTCGACGCACATAAGTAGGCTATAAAAATTACACAACATTTAGTTAGTTACTTTAATTTACTTGCTCTAGACTCGCATTAGCTTTTGCTTTAATTTAGCTTTAGTTTAGTTTAGGTTTAGTTTTAGGTTTAGTTGGGGGCTCTAGTTAATTCATTGCTATAAATGCGAGACACACACAACAAGAACTGGAGGTAGTAAAAAACGCTCGTTATCGCTATCAAGGGGTCGCACAACATTCACTAAGGTGTATTGAACTATCAAAAGTCGGAATAGGCGTATGTTAGGATAGGTATATGTATGTATATTTTAGTTAATGTTATATGTATACACGAGGTATGTAAGTTGGCGCCGATCGGATCGGGACGCTCGTTCGCCGCCGATCGGCCTACGCGATCGTACTTATGCATGTACTGAGGTATATGTGGTATATTTGTGGTATTGTATGTACTTTCTGTTCGATTCTCGTTCCCGATTTGCACTCCGTCGCGATAAAGCTACCCATCTCCCCGATTCCCCCCGCCTTCCAAACCCTCTCTCTCTCTGTCATACGTAACGCGAAAAATTCAACTAAATGCGATGATTGGGATCCGTGATCGTGATCGTGCTACCAAGTCGTTATTGTTATTGTAATCGTTATGCGATCTGAATTTGACTTGCGCGGGGTCAGTAATACTATCTCGATACCATAGCTAATATTAGGCAGATTACTGGCTACTGTAGTTTTTATGTTTAGTTAAAGCCACATCGATTAATTTGAGAGTTCGCCTAGCTTGCTAGCTGTCTGGTGTTTGCCTCCTTCCCATTCTCCAATCCTATTTACATCCCTGCTTAGATCTATGTATAAGTTCCGCGCTATGTGTATATAATTTTTCAGAGTTTTCGGCTCGCAGTCTTTTCGGGCTATAATTATTTTAACGCAAGTGTTCTCAAGACCCCACTGTGGAGCTCTGACTAATGATTATCGAGAGGAATATACGCTAGTTAGTTGCTAGTTGCCTGGTATTTGTCTAGTTAGTATCTCGAGGATTGCTTGTCAATTTGCTACAGTAAAATTTTCTAGTAGGGCGCCGTTTGTCCGTGTGTTTGGCCTTCGTTCGATGAGGTTACTATTTGATGGCTGATCCGGAGGTAGTTTCGGTTTCAGTTTCAGTTCCACTTGCTCGACTTGCCACACGAGGTAGATGCGGTTACGATCTGATCTATCTGGCCATTTCTCCTACGAATTGTGCTACTTAGCCGGCGAAGCTCGCTCCTGGCCAAACAAAAGCGGCTTAAATGACAGAGTAAATAAGGCAAATAAGGTAAACGGGGCAAAGGATGTTGAGTAGGGAGCAAATATTTGGCCACGTACACACATGTGTCGCCCGAGAATAATGCAAATTGGGGTCTCCGGTCCTCGGATCCGGAGTAGCTGCAGCCAATTACGGAGCAGTCGGGCGATTCATTAATGCAGGGACTACGGACCATGGACTACGGACTACGGACCACGGAAAGTGCCAGCCGTGACGCAAAAGTCCGGACGGAGTGGGAGGCTCGTGCGGGCCATAAAACCAGCCGAGTGCTAGGTCCAAGCCCGGGCTTTTTCGGTACATAAGAGACACGTGCCGTGAAACAAAGAGAGTGTGTGTTCTCCGGGAAAAGAGAAAGGCGAGTGCCAAGTGAAAGTGAAAGTCCCAGCGAGAGGGAAAGTTGTGCCGCAGCGAAGAGCGTCAGCTGTGCGCAGCGGAAAGGAAATAAAGCAGGCAAATACAGAGGCAGTGGCAAAGGCAAAGGATATACCCGGATGGGTGGGTGGGATTTTTGGGGGGGGGACTACTGCCCGAGTTGGAGGTGCAAAATCAATACGAATGGAGCCCAAACTCAGGCCAGAGTGCGGCACGCGCCGCCTCCGCTGCTTACCGACATGCCAAAGGATGTGGGATGGAGAGTGGGAGGTCCTTTGGCGAGGGCACAAGTTCCATTTCCAATTCCAATCCCAGTCCGATGGCCTGGCTAAAGCAGTGTCAATAGTGGGAGTCTCGGCATTTTAAATTCCCATCCGAAGGCGGGGTTAGTTGCGTGTAAACTGGTTTGCCTGCCGTCGCATTTTCTGTATTTGCCAGCTGGATATTTATGATTTGAGTATTCCGGATCGCCGGCGATGTGCGTCAGACACGCTACGCCGAAGTCCCGGGAAGTTAATTAAGCCGCCGGGCGACACAATGAGAAATCGGTTGGGATATACTCGAGATATATAAACAACCCCTCTTCCCGTACGTGTATGTAGGTCAGTACGCGACGGAAAATCAATAGGGGTTTCGTTTTTAAACATTCAGGGGCCCCGGGGGAAATAAATCATAAGGAAATCAAAACAAACACAGCGTTGGGTAATGTTTTTGGTTTTTCTTTCGTCTCGGAAAAGTGACTGCGACTTCTCCTTCGTTAGGGTGTATTTAACGCTAGTAAAAACAAAACAAAGGAACTATGAACTAAATTAAGGGACAACTAGTAAGAAACGAAAGCTCCTGCCAGGTTAAAGCTTCGGTGGCGACCCGAGGTTTGTTCTATATACGCACTATGTCTATCGGCTAAGTCTAGGTATATATCTATGGTATATAGACTATATATTATGTGTATATATGCGTGTGTGGGTGTGTTGTGCGGTTGAATCGCTGCCAACACGAGGATTGTTCTTTAATTGCTAATAGTTTCTCTATGTATATGTGTTGTGTTTGTGTTTTCCTTTAGTTTTGACTTTTCACTAGAACTAGTGTGCATATTTGTCTAGCTTAAAGTTGCCTCCTCTTCAACTTTCCTACGGGGATTTGCTCCGCTCTCTTTTTGTACCTTCAGCGCTCGAATTTCAGTTTTCAATTTTGCTACTTTTCGTTCACAAATTCTGACAATTTACATGGGCTCCGCTTGTGCTCCTTCGTGGTATTCGAAACACGACAACAAAAAGGCCAAAATGAACTCGAAAACAAACGCGTCCTGTCTCTCTCAGCTTCATATCCTTCCTTTCTCCGAATTCCTGCACTGCTGCTGCTGCTTCTGCTGCTGCTGCTGCTTCTTTTGCTCAGTCAAAGCTTACACATCTAACAAATTGCTCGAAAAAGTTAACAGAAATCATAGGGATAAGGTCTAGAACGTAAACCTGATGGATGCCGATGCCGGTAACTCAAACAACAAAAGCAAATGCTATCACAGTAAAAAACTTAAAGTTGCCGTATTGAATTTATATAGTTTACAATTTTATTGCAATCGCACTCTGATCCGCACTCTCCTCGTCTAGTGATGTCTCCTCAAATAATCTACTCGAATGGTATTCTCCTACCGCTCCTCGTATGTACAACAGAATTGCTCAACAGAACAGAAGATTTAACAACTCGCTTAGGCTTATGGCTTAGGGTCTGTAACTTAAAAAGAAATCAACAAATCGCGCCAAGCCACAACTTAGGACTATCGACCGATCAACGCTCTGCTTCGCCTCGGATTTGATCGGACCGGATCGGCGATCGGCTAGCGGCTAGCACTATTTTAAATAGTCTACAAAATGTATAGTTTTAAAGTCCACGCTGCAGCCGCAACTGCAGCTCTCTTACACGTCTAGACTATCGCTATCCGCTATATAGAGTATATCTCTAATATATATCTAAGGACTAAGGACTAAGGACTAAGCACTAAGGTCTAGGGACTACAAAACGGCCTTCCTCTCGCGGCGGAAGGAGGTTGCCTTGTTGGTTGGTTACAGTTTACAGTTTACAGTTTACAACTCATGCCGAGTTATCCGTACTCTCTAGGGTCTAGCATTATAAAATCGATCCATTTACAAAGACAAATTGTAGAAATGGGCTTGTCCATTCGCTTAGCCTAACAATCCTTGGTAATTCGGTAATCATAGCCGGCTGTGCTGTGCTGTGCTGTGCTGTGTGGTGTTTCCATTAGCTAATTGAGAGGCGGGTGAAGGTCTCCGAGTCGGCGCTCCGACGCTGCGACGCTGCGACTCCGGGACTCTAGACCTTGGCCAGCTGCTTCTTGGGCCGCATGGGCACGATGCAGTAGCCGGCACTCACGTCGCGTCCGCTGACCAGCAGGTTCTTCAGCACCGAGTTCGACTGCTGCTGCTGCTGCTGCTTCTGCTGCTTGCTCTCCGCCGCCTGCGACCACCGCTCGCTGGCCGCCCGCTTTGCCGCCTGGCTCTGCTGCTGGGCGGGATCCTTGCCGATCAGCTGCTGCAGCAGCTGCGGCGACTGCACGTCCAGGGTGCCGAGGGTGCCGCTCTTCAGGCGCTTCGACTCCACGGGGTTTCCTGCCCCTGTCGCACTGTTCAAATGCCGCTTATTTCCATGCTGCTGTTGCTGCTGCTGTTGCTGTTGCTGTTGCTGCTGCGGGACGAGGTTCACCTTGGCCACTCGCGGCTGCGTCGCGGTGGGCGGCTTGCTCTCCACCAGCCGAATTGTGGCCTTGGTGGTCACCGGCGCAATGGTGGATCCGTTCAGCAGCTTCAAGGCGGGCTGCTGCAGGTGCTCCTGCTGCTGCTGCTGCTGCTGCATTAATCCCTTGTTGTTCTGAATGGTTATCAATGGCACGGCATTCAGGATGATGTTCTGCTGCTGCTGCTGCTGCAGTTGCTGCTGTTGCTGCAGCAACTGGATGGTCGTCACCTTGCAGGCGGAAGGCGAGGAGGCTGCGGGACTCACGGGAGCCGCGTCGGCCACCTGCATCTGCAACAGGTCCCAGCAATCCAGATTTGCGGCTGAAAGAGAGGAAAGCAAACACGGTTAGCAATAGAATTGGAATCAGAAAAATCAAAAGAAATGTGCTGTCTAATCCTGAAATTTATTGGATCGAACGCCAGCCAAGAAATAATTCCTTTGCCCATGACATTGGTGCTAATTTAAAACAATAATATTTGGCTGCCTCAAACATTTTGCACATAAATATAAATAAGTGGGCACATTCTCTACACCTTATATATCTGTGCGGCTGCCTGCCTTCGTATCTGTATCTCTGTATCTTTCTATCTCTGTATCTATTCGGTAAGTAGCTAATATCGCCTGGTGTGTGCGACATAAATCAGCCGCGATTAGCTAGTGAAATATTCAAAAGGCCTAGCGGCATCTGTCAATGAAGAGCAATTCCTGCCCCGTCCCTTTTCAGGGGCTGTCATAAAGCCCAGCACTTGCAGTCAATACAATTGACAAGGCCAGGAGCTGGTGTCACGGAATCGTGGTGGCTCTCTGGCCATCAATCACAGAACTCGTGCCGTGACATGTGTCAAAGGTAAGAGAGCAATGTGTGAAAATTACGCAAAGCGCTTACAAACCACTGGAGTGGAGCGGCGGACCCACATCAATTAGCTCTCCCGCAGTTCCCCAAAGCGGAGGAAAGCGGAGGAAAAGCGGAGGAAACGGGGCGGAGGAAGCCCAACCCGAAACCGAGTGACATCTTCCGCGACACGCAACAAAAATTCAGAAATTTTCTTTATGTTTGCCTCTATTTTTACATGTAGGCGTCGGAGTGCGTGCGTGTGCGTTGGCAGCATATCATAAAAAATAAAGCAAGTTCCTCGGGTATTTTTAGCGGGGAACTGCCATAAAATTAGGCCTCTCCAAAGGCAGGAGGCCAAACTATGGAATATTTCCAAAGCAAACAGGAAAGAAAGTCCCGAAGGGCCGTAAATCAATCTATAAAAGCCATCGAAAGTCGCTCTCTATTAAAAAAGTAAAAGTGTCGTTAAATGTCCCCTCCATAATTACTCATCAATTGTTTCTTTTTAATGCCGTCGATCAATCCCATGAGATGACTTTTCGTTTATAATCCACAACCAAATGTTTTAAAATTCCCTATCTATTAAAGCAACCAATTGTGGCAACCTTCTGGCAATTGTTCTCCTATTTTTAGTTCTTCCCTCACTTCTATTTTTGAAAATACTTACAGTCCTTGCTGTAGTCGTTCTCAAATGCATCCTCCATGGAATGACACAAGCTGGCTCCCATCTGCACGTCGTACTTCTCCTTTTTGCACTCGATGCTGAGGCTCAGCAACTGCTGTTGCTGCTGCTGCTGCTGCTGTTGTTGCTGCTGCTGTTGCTGCTGCTGCTGCTGGCGTTGCTGCTGCTCCTCCTGCAACTGCAGCTCCTGCTGCAGCTGCTGGAAGGTCCTGAACTCGTTGCCACCCTGCTGCGCTTGCTGCTGGTGCTGCTGCAGCCGCTCGCTGCACTCCTCCGCCATGGTCACTCCACTTCCGGCCAGGATGGAGAGGGTTCCGTTTCCCGATCCGCACAGCAGAGCTGCCAGTTCGCTGGAGTCGCTGGTGAAGACCGCCGCCTGCTGCTGCTGCTGTTGCTGTTGCTGCTGCACCGGCGATGGCGAGAGCGACGAGACCGTCGACGCGGGCGACGAGCAGAGGGAGTTGGAGAAATGCTGCTGCTGGTGGACACCGCCCGACTGCTGCTGCTGCTGCTGCTGGTAGCCAGTGCTGGAGGCGAACTGCTGGTGGTGCTGCTGCTGCAGCTGCTGCAACTGCTGCTGCATCGCGTCGATCTCCTTGGGCACCATGGTCTGCAGATCCTCCGGCGGGCACCACATGAGGTCCGTCTCCGTCAGCAGGGGCATGTCGTCGTCGATCGGGATGTAGGGAGCTCGCATGGCGAAGTCCTCGAAGGAGAACTCGTCCTCCTGGGTCAGCGAATTGGGGCTGCACAGCGAAGGCAGGCTGCTGTCCTCAGGGCTCTGTAATAAATGTTAGGAAATATAGATTAGTAAAGATACTCAATGGGTATAAGATGAAGGATAAACCCACCTTCAAGGTGATGCTGGGCGAGTGCAGGTGCTGCGAGCACCTCGTGTCGTTCGACTCCTCGCGGTAGTTGAACAGCGGATCGATGTTGCTGCTGCTGTTGCTGTTGTCGTGGTGCTGGGGATGGTGTTGCTGCTGCTGGCTATGCTGTTGCTGCTGCTGCTGCTGTTGTTGCTGCTGCTGTTGCTGGTGACTGGGATTACTGGCCGCGGGAGTGGGAGTGAGCGGGCTGAGCGGACTGTTGGCGTAGCTGTTGCTGCTGCTGCTGTTGCTGGTGTTGGTGTTGCTGCTGGTGGCCGAGTTGCTGCTGCTGCTGGGGCTCTGGTAGTGCTGGCCACTGGCCGTCGTGGAGCAGGTGGTCGAGTCCAGGGAGTTGATGTCCTCGGGCAGCAGGCAGGAGCCCATGAGGCCGACCAGCATGTCGCTGAAGGGCGTCATCTCGTCCAGCTGGATGCAGTTGGTGGAGGCCAGGTGGTGGGACAGGTCGTCGGGTTCCTCCTTAAGCACTGGAATCGGAGGAGAACACATGCAGTTAGTGGCGGTTCCACCTAGTTCGTGGTGAAGTGCTACATCTCAATTCGGTTTCTGTTTCGGTTTCGGTTTCGCCTACTGTTAATTAACTCTGCTCCGAACAAAACCCTTGGCTTGCGCTGCCGAAATTTCAATTATCGCTCGCGAGAGTCGCTCCTAATTGACAGCTCCCAATTGAATCTAATTGAAGGCGGCAGCGGCACAGCCGCTCCCCTCGTGAATTGGTCGCCTCCGTTCCAGTTGCCTCCGCACCGCAATCGGAGCAGAGCCAAGATTTTTATGGCCGGCGACTCATTAATCATTAATCAGCGTTTCGGGCCTATTGACGTACGCGGAATAGATGCAAGCGAAGCGCTTCAAAACAGGAACTCTAGATCGAAGAGATCGCTGGCTATTTATGTGGCATTAAGCGACTATCGGGTGCATCGCCCCGGATCAGGTGCAATTGGGCTTATCAGCCGGGGTCCCGAACCGGGGTCGATCTGCCCGCGAGATTGCGCTGTGCGTCATCCCAGCCCACTCAGAAATTCCTAGGCATCTTCTGAGCGGAGCCCCAGCCCTCGTGCCATCCCAATCCCCATCCCAATAGCAATAGCAATCCCAATACCAATCCCCATCCCAATCGCAGTCCCATTCTCGTCATGGGGTTCGCTATACTAGATGCTATGCTAATAAAACTGGTCCCAGCCGCCTGTGTGTGCCGACTATTAAGTTGCAAAATGGAAATGAGAAACTAACTAAAACAACGGAGACCGCAGCCAAATAGAATTTCAAATGCAAGTCCAGGTTAGCTGGTGTGAGTGCATTGTTTGCCTTTGGCTCAGCCGCGTGCTTCCATCAAAGAGCCATATATAAAGCGGATAAGTCCCAACTGCGGCGACTGCCACCGGCAGCCATATAAGCCGGGAAATAGTCAGCGGACTGCCCTAAGCCAAATGCATTTGCATTAGCAGAAATTTATACTATTTTACTACTCTGTAATCCAAGAACATATCCAAAAGGGGATTCTGTGATTCCTATTTTAAGACAATCCTATAGAATTGGAGGGATTGTGGGCAGTAAAGATGCGATTAGCGGAGTGCAAGGGATTTGCACAGCTGTAGCCGGAGCTCCTCTCCCCGCATCTGCTTGCTCTTGCGGTCGCTGCATTCGACACAAACAAATTAATTAACAATGCACGCCCAAAGGTTCGCGAGGGGCCTCCGCCCGGCGGTGTGACTTGTAATTATGGCACTCGAGTGCTACTCAACGCTGCCTTGCGGAAAAAACAACAGGAATTATGGCGCAGATAATGCGGCACACACAGAAACAGAAACTGAAAACATCGTACCAGTGTATCTGTATTAAAATCGAGGAGTGCATTTTACGAGATGTTCGCAAAGTGCTCCTATGCACTACCGCTCATCGAATGTGTTGTTTTTCGCCAAAGTGCAAGGCCGGGAACGGCATTTAGCGGCTAACTGGCTAACTGGGCCTACACGCAAGGCTAAAACAGCTGCCTCTGGGTATCTGGGTCTTGACCATCACCCAGTGATCCAGTCACCCGGTCAATAGGAATCGAAGCGCACGGAGAGAAAATCTGTGAAGCCCTCAGATGATCAGATGATTTATTAATTAGAGAACAACCTCGAGTACTTGCGATCTTCTAATGATCGTCACGTGATTTAAAGTATTTCTCCGGTGAATAAACTACTTGACACTTTTACAACTTTTAGCTGTTGAAATTCCGATATTCCGATACTCGGATATTTCTGGCTGTGCAACCGACGAGAGGTCGGTCGTGAGGCACTTGTGAAAGGCATCTCCGCTATCCGCATCTGCACTTGAGCCACATTCGGTGCACTTGAGGCCCGTGTGTGCTCGAAAGTTTCGAAGGAAACAGGTTGCCGCATTAGCACACACAAATTCAAACCGAAATTCATGCTCGACGCGTGACTGAGAAGAATCTTCGGGGCTGGAGAAGCTCCAGCAGCAGCAGCCGGGCGCAAAACGGCTTCAATTTAAATAAATTTATGTCATCATCTGCAATTGAAGACGGCGACTCGTGATGTGACGTAGTTCCAAATCAGAATCAGAACATGTAAACAACGGACACGGGCACTTAAGAACCCAAACAGCGAGCAGAGATCACTCGCAAGAGAGGCGAAGAAATGGGGACGGAGACCAGAGTCTGGGGCTTTATGTAAGAGCCCGAAAATATTGACAATTTACAGAGCAGCCGTCGCTGCGAATCGGACTTGATCCCACCATATCAGCTGTGAACTTGAACCCGGGTGATTAGGAGGGAATCCATCCGATCCGATCCGATCCAATCCGACCATACGTCCATACGTCTGTTTTTATTCACTGTTTGTGCTGCTGGACGTGATGGGCGTGCTTATCACGCGTGCTAATCACGATAGAAGTGCGTTGTCCGCACTTCCCTTCCACTCCGACTCCCGATCCGAGCATAATTGCCCAACTACTGACTACTGGACTACAGCTAATGTATCGGCCCAGTGCCCAATTGATATTTATGGCCGGGAGAGTTCCCCTATCCGCTGTCGTTACAAATATTTGCCTTTGTAGATTGTGTGCGGATAAGAGCGTAAGGTAATTACAGTGCGGCCTTTGTTTTTGTTTGTCAACGGGTAACTTTGTTTGGCCATCAAGAAGCGGCCGTTCGGCTCCCTCCTCTCGATGGGCCCTCCCCAATTGATAGCCTGTATCTGTGCTGTAACGCCTTGAAACCGCGAGTATCTGACAGCCGGCAATCGAGGCGATCGAGTGTAACAACTGATTAGGCCGGCGAGCGGAATAGTCGAGGTGTTTGGAAAAGTACCAAAACAACATCGGTGACAGGAATTACATAAAAACACTGGCCACTCATCACCATCATCCCCTTAAGGCAATGCGATTCGGGACGAAAATAAGCCGAGGCGTTTCCCTGTTTATTTACGTTCCACGCACGAAAATAAATATAGGCGACGCGGTGGGAAGAAAGTGAAGTAGAGATACTTTGCTCAATCCCAGTCTGCAGGCACGGCAAAATGTCAACACAAAGGGGCCGAAAACCGAACGAAAGCGAAAGCGATTAGAGGCTGCAGGTCCACTTGAGTGGAGAGGGTCGGAAATTGTCGAAAATACCCCCAAAAATTTAGAGGGTGTATGGATCCGAATCCGAAGGGGGAAGGCGACACATGCGAGACAGCACCGCTTGATCCATCGACGGACCTTGGCACACGCGCCAAAAATCCCGCTCTCCACTCCCCTGGTTTTCACTCTTTTTTTCGTGGACACCACCCCTCCACCCCCCGATGACAGCCACATCGCTTAGCACATTAATTGGCTCAAGTTAATATTCATATTTCTGTTTTTGTCACCAGGCGGCAGAAGCCTGCCAGCAGCCAGCAGAAAGCAGAAAAAAGAGCGGAAAAATTCACTCGATGGGTAGATATTTAAAATACACAAATATTCCAATAGAGATAGAAAACGAACGGACCAAACAATCGGTGACGTTTTTCGGAATAATTTAATCATATGATTCCTTGGGCACACATAAGGAAAACAAGTTTATGGTGTCTTCCAAACACGAAAATAATTGCTTTGTTTATGGGTTCTAAGAGATAAACTATCCGCCGTAAAAAACTATCAAAGTACTTCTTCCTTAAAAGACAGTCATTAGGAAATTAAGGCAACGCCTTTACTCTTTCCAATAAACAACTCACTGCATTTTTACTCTAGTTCGCAAATTAGACTGTCAAATAAAAAGATCTATAAATACAGGGTTCGATGTAACACACTGCGTATACACAATAGTCCGCTATTGAGAACGATTCTATCGATTACCCCGGGTAACCCACTTTATGGCGTTATATATTCCATTCCATAACCGCGATCTTGTTTGAAAACAACACCCAACACCATCGAACTCTAATCTGCCAATAAACGATCCCCCGGGGCTCCGTGCACACCACACTGCGTATGCGTAATGCCGGCAAATTGTGACATAAGAGCGGGCAATTGCATCGGCAACCGGCACCGGCACCGGCTTGCGGTTAAGTACGGATGGGAATCCGCCCCCCGCTGAAAACCCTGACCGTATATATAGCCCTCCGTATGTGAGCGGTACTATATAGTATGCACTTATCGGGCGAGCGAACTGAACATTGTTTACTAATGCACTTTCTGGACGGCGGGTTGGCGCGGCGTTTGTGACTTTACAAATAAATAGTTTTATTTGCGCAAATTGAGGCCACAGATAAGCGAGCCAAAAGGTAAAAGCAGCCCAGCCGACGATCGCCAGAATGACTGACCATTCAGCAGACTGAACGATTGCCAGACTTTCAGACTGACTGAATGACGGACTGACTGACCAATCAAATCGCACAATGCGTCAAATCACATCAAATAGCGCGCGTCACTAGGTTCGCTGCCTCTTGCTGTTGTTGGTTATTTTTGCATAGAATTTACAAACAAGCCAGCCGGAATGCATATGTATAAGTTGGCGCTGTTTTGTCGCTGAAAACGTTGACTTTAGCCTTGAACGCAGAGCACCTGATGCACTTCACACACACACACACACACACAGATACGTACAGGAAAACTACTCCAAAGCGGTTCGCAAACCTTCCTGTTTTTCTATTATTCTCTACGCTTATCAGCTGATTCAGCTATACCTTCCCTAACAACCGAATTGAGTTATGTACTTGCAGCAGGGTGTAACAGAAATCTCTATCAATCGAAGTGGCAGTGCTATCGCGAAAATCACTGCTGATTATATTCAAAACGAATAGATAATGCTAATGATTGGAAGTGATATTTCCGATTGAAATAGAGCTGATATTGCAAGAGTTATTTTAGATGCAGTCAAATTAGATCTAAATATAAGTTTTTCTAGGGGATTAGGGATTGAATTTGTAAGATTTCTGCTACACCCTTTAATCTTAACTTTATTCTAGGGGTTTCTACTTACTTGTCAAACCTCGTCCATCGTCGGCGAAGAGCGAGCAGAATCCCTTATTCATATCTTGAGCCGGTTGTGGATTCTGCAGTTGGTTCGGCTGGGGGATCTGCAGCTGCTGGTTGCTCGACGAGATTATGGCGGCCGTGGCGGTGGTGGTGGGCGGCAGCTGGGGCTCCACGCTGAGCGCTGCCTTCTTGCAGAGGACCGCCGGCGGTGGGGTCAGCGGTGGAGCGGGGCTCGGGCGGAAGACCGAGGCGGTCACCGACTTGGGGCGCTTCTCCTCGTGGCGCAGGCCGCCGATGTTGCCGATCTTGCCGCTGTTGCAGCTGCTGCCGCTGAACAGCTGGGCGGTGATGGTGCGCGGTCCGGGGGAGTACTTCTCCCGCTTGATCAGCAGCTCCGCTTGGAGGATCTGCTTCAGGGGATTGCTCTCGGGGATCTGCTTTATCTGATCGGCCGCAGTGGTGGCGGTCGCTGGTGGGTTTCTCTCAGCTGATTTGATGGCTGGTGGTTCTAGAGGTTTCTCCTCGATGGTCTTTTCTGATTCCTTGCTCTCGATTGGCTGCTCTCGGCCTTCAACCTCTATTGGGGTTGATTTGTTTCCGGTTTCCTTGTTGGGTTCCTGAAGGACGACCTCGGGAGTTGCTGCTTTTTCTGGCCGCTCGGTTTCGGTTTCAGCTGGTTGGTGTTCCTTTTGCTCACTTGCCGCCGTTTGTTGAGCGAGTGAGTATATCTCATGTTTGTTCTCAAGATTACTGCAAGATGAAGATGCACAAACGCGGTTCGATTTGGTTTAATTCAAATGCCTTTCTGCGGTTACTTATTCGCGTTGCACTCGTTTGTTACACCACGGCGAGAAAAGAGATTCGCGGGATTCGTTCGAAAGTATCTGAACACTGTATCTCAAAGTGAGAGTCCAGAAAATACTGCACTCTCTTCGGGCAATCAGCTGCGACTGCTTGCCACTTGTTCTGGGTAGGTAACTACCAATTAACCAGACTTAATTAACACTACGGATCCCCAAACGAGCCGAGTTGAGCCGGAATTTCCTGAGTAAACTAGCGTATTTTCGCTCGTATGATCACACGGAAAAGAAAATAACAACGTTTTGTACAAGAGTTAATATTACTTATCACTTTTGATAAGAATGTTCACCAATTGCCTGCTTTCTGATTTCACTGAGACCGCATAAGATAAAGGTTTTATCAACAATTCAATTTTCTATTTGCGTCTTTCTTGGATTAAAATAGCCAAGAATTATATAGATCCACCAAGTTTAAAGGGTTTAAAAAGATCATTTTAAGTAGAAAGCTTAGCTTGCGCTTTAAGAGGTCAATGTTGCTTGGAAATGCTGAATTATTGCAAAACTATTCATCGATCTATCTTTATTGCAGTGGAGAATCAACAACTATTTTCTGTGCACCTTTACTGCGGGTAAAAGTCCGTACACGGCTGCCTCGAAACGTGATCACCGACCATTCCTATTCCGAATTAGCGACTTCTGGGCGGTTTCCTAGATTTCACAACTGCCATTGGAAAATTTTCGCCCGCCGATAAGTCACGTTTCCCCAATGCCAGACTGCCGATTTTTGAGAATCACCTTCCCAGGCCTTATCAATTATCCAAGCGAAATCAAACGACGGCTGGGCATCGCTCATAATGCCTTTCCAGCCGTCGTGATAGATAGCTCGCAAATAGGTGGGTGTGTCCTACAACAATTGAAATGACAATAACAACAGCGCACCAGACCCAGATTGATAAGCCGAGCGCTGTAATCAGTAATCCGATGGAGCCCAGACCCGAAATCCTGAGAGAGCCCGGCAACCGGGAATCGTACGTCGCACGTCTCGAGAACCTTTCAGCGTTCAGCTCTCCGGCGATAAGATTGCGCATTCGCACGATCGGCCGACTCAGCCTGAATTGTGATCTGATGGAGTCTCCGGCCGGACTGCTACGTTTCGCGGCCATAAAGGCCCGTAAAAAAAAAAAAACGAACAACAACAAGAAGCGACGACTGTGCATGCACGGAGTGGCTGAGAGTCAAACTTTGGGCGCGTGAAGCCCCCGTGGGGCCCCCGTGAAACCCCCGTGGAATGCGTGCTGCGACTGATCTGGCGATAAAGGCGCCATCGCACGATAGCAGCGCTATATTTGTGCCCCGGCCTCGAGTGCTGGACATGATGGGGCGGAATATCACCGACGCCAGCGCCAGCGCCAAAACAAACAGCCGAGTATTATTTATAATTTCCAGTGGTATGAAAACGCAATAACAACAACGCCAGGCGAACCGATTTTTGGGGGCTCGTCCCTCTGGTGAAATAGTACAAAATACGTCGTTCGAGAAGTACCATAGTTAGGGGCAGCTCGACATTGAAGTGAAGGGTCTTCACTTGGACAATCGAAGATCTACGATTTACCCAGAGGTGACCAGCCCACTTTTGGGGCGTGGAAAGAAGGGGCTCAATGTCACACGACTTCTGGCTTGCGTAAGTCCGCTCATCGATTGATTAGGACGATTGAGAAACTTACGCAGAACATACGCCCGTGGAAAACACACCCACCTGCCCGTAAAACCGGAAGGCACTGAGTGGACAACAAAAGATACAACCCTCCCAGCCGACATAGGTGTAGATACAACACAGCGCACTACCGATACACTTAAATAATTGCTCCATCTTCATTGTTGAGCTCGCCAATTGTTGGGGCCTGTCGTTTGACACGGCCAGTCGCAACCAGTTAGAACCGACGATCGTTACCGGTGGATCGGCCCCTTTTCAGGGAGGAGGCTTACATCACATTATTAATTAAAAGCCCCCAAAAAATGACCAAGTAAATACGTACAGCTACGGTTGAGGAGATAGCACTAACAATGCCACAATCGAAGTGGAGAAAGGTCACTATAAACCAGTTAGAGAGCAAGACTATTTTCGGACATCAATTGATAATCTTCGACGATATCTATCTACACAAACTTTTCTTTGTGAATGAAAACGTGGATAAATTCTAGTGCTGAGGACTTGATCTTTTTAACAAAGTTTTCTACCCTCACATATAAAATTTCAGTAAAGCGATGATATATCACTGCCATTATTTACTGATTATCTCAATCATGCCTTAGTGGAAAAACTAGAAACATATTTAATGATCAGCATCATATTAAACCTAATTATACGTTAATAAGCCCGATATAAATAAATTGGTTTCTTTTACTGGAAATATATACCATATTAAAAACCACCAATTTACAGATTAAATATTACTTCACGGGAAATACCTGAATTTCAAATAGTGTGCTATTATTGCAACCGGCGCTGTTTGTAACAAGTAACACTTCAGGCTGTTTGAAGTGCCGTTGAGTTGGTGAAATGTTCGAGAACAAACTGCAACGACTGATAAGAGATACAGATAGAAACTGCACCCGCGATCTTTCCTCTCAACTCTTGAACTGTGCAACTCGAGTGGAATGTGGAACCTGAATCTCGGATCGCGAATCTTCGAGTGTTCTGATGGATTTTCGAGTGCGAGACTTCGAAGTGCGAAGTCAGCAGCGCTGCTCGATCGCCTGATCTTTTGCCGCGCCCCTTTTCCCCACGATTTTCGCAAATGCACAAATTAATTACCCAGCGCAACTAAACAAGCTGCTGTTGAGCAAAAAATAAAACAAATAAAGCGTAACAATGGCCAAGAGAACTATTTGACCGGTTCCCGTTTGCGATTTCGCAAATCTGTAGAGGAACTGGAATCTAAATGTGGATTCTTATAAGATATATGTACATATCTTAAATTTGGTTTTCTATAACCGAAATTGGGATTTTTGTTGACAATGCATCTCAAGAATGTATTTTTGAGTTTGACACAGTGAATGGATGTGGAAATTGGTAAATGCAAATCTTTGGGCAAAGTTTTGATGCAACCAAACAAATTTTCTTATTGTGTAACAAATTGCGTCGAAAAACGGAAAACAGAGATAGAGATACGAGAAATTGGCGACCATAAAAAGAGAGGAACAAAACAAGCGGACGACAACAAACACAAATTGTCTGAAAAGCAAGAGGCTGTGTAAGTTCGCTCTCCTTTTTTGCTCCTTTTTTTTTCTCTTTCAATTGCGGGGCAATAACGGGTGTCCCCTGCCCCGCCCCCTTCTTTCTTAACAGGCCCCCTAAAATATCAGTAATTGCTCACGCTAGTGTGTGTATGCAGTAAATTGAATGAACGAAAAAGACAGTAAAACGAGATCAAAAGAGTGGAGAATTGAGAATTGTGTTTTATGTTTACTGAGAGTTGTGTAATCGCTTGCACAAAAAGTACATATATTCAATTACACGCACTCTTGGCCATAAAATAACACACTAAAATTTAATAAACAAATGCAAATGATCAGCAAATTTATGTAATGCAAATTTGCCAATGCAATGTGGCGAAAAGTGAGGCGTAGAAAGAGAGCAAATCGAGAGAATTTCTTTTTTTTGGACAATGCACGCAGAATGCAATTTGTTGCAGTCGACGTCGCAGTTGCAGCGCAGCAGCAGAGGATTTTACAGGTTAGGAACGAGTGTTGTGTAAAACTTTGTCTCTTTTATTTAAATTTACTTTTCAATTCTTTATTTTTATTGTATCATTTATTAATATTTCGGGCGCTTTTCTCTTTTCCGCGTGTAACAAACATTTGCACACTTTTCTAATGAGTTTCTTTCTTTTTAGATGTTTTTTATATGCTAATTTTCTTTTTTATTCTTAATTTTTTTGCTGGACCGTTTCAGATTTTTGATAATCGTTCACACACACATGCAGGGGCTGATTAAAATAGCAATTATATGTTTTTTTAATATACTTATAGTCCCCCGCTTGTGTGTGTGATTAAGTTTATTTTCGTCAATTTTTTACTTTTTGTTTTATTTTTTGGTGACTTTTTATTATTTTCACGAGTTTCACTAGGTGTACAAAAAAACTTTAGGCTTTTTATGTAATTTAATTTACTCTTATTATTGGGCTGATCTTTTACCTTTGAAACTTTACTTGTTCAGCGTTATTTTTTTTTTGTTTTTAATAGTTATTAATTAAATATTTACAGTTCCGTTTGGGTTTGTTTAGTTAATTTTTTTCTTTGAGCTGATATTTAGCATTTTATTTAACTTTTTTGCACTTCGACTCGACTCGACGGCAGCTGGCGAAGTAAAACAAAACGTCAATCGGCGATTGTTTTTAAGCACGACGCGGCGATCGGAGAGGTGCGAGTGAGATAGCAACGGCGGCGGCGGCAGAGTTTAGTTAATAGTTTTTTTTTTTTAGTCACTTTAGTGCGCCTCTCAGTTTTTTTCGGTTCAAGTTTTAATTTTAATATTTTTTCGGGAAGCAGTGCACGGAAAAAGTGAAGTGAGCGCTGCGAAATTTGAGAGACGAATGAGTGGAAATCCGAAAGCGAATGCTTTTTTCAAAGCGGCTGCGAAGCGACGCCAAAAAGAGAGCCTGTCCCCAAGAGAGAATCCATTCTGAGTGAAGAGAGAGACGCCTGCGCACTGAATATTAAGTATGCTCCCCCACGAAAGTACTCGTTCTACAAAGTATTTTTGAGTGAAAAACATGAGCTATAATATTTCTCTCATATTCACTACCGATTTATTATTGTTTTTATGCCAAACAAATCAGCTGAGCGATGCAAAAAAACCTTTGTCGCTCACTCTCTTTTTCCCCACCAACAAAGAGTATATTTTGAGACTAAGGCAAAGTACCTCTTTTAAAGCCTAATCTTTTCCGC